ACCGACATCTGGTGAAAATTTCATGTCATTAGCACCTCTAGTAATATATTTACTGAGAAAAATGTTGATGACTTATTTTACCCGCTGTATTGTCGTTTAGGTACAGAAATAAATTGGCAACTTTTGTTTCTAATGTTTTCAGGATTACATCCAATGTTTTCAATCCAAATTGAATGTATTTTAGTGTTTCTAGAGAAAAAGTTACTTTAAAGTTTTCTAGTATTTAAATGGCCATTAGTTGATGTGATAAGAACTAGGGGTGCACCAGTAAATCACCTCACATGTACAGATTCAGAAATGAACCCAGCATGTTGGGAGGGGGACTGAACCCGTCAATCCCAGGCTGAGCTCTCTTGTGAATTTTATTTGAACCATTGAAACAGAAACGAGAAAACATTCTTCCTGTGCTGTTTTGTTCAAAGACATATTTCAAAAAGTTTGTTGCCTGAACTTTACRTGTTAATTTGAAACGGCTAAATGTGAGTTTGCATGTGTCATGAAACTTTACTTTTTACAAAATACATTAGTTTGTTTAGAACATTCAGAGATATTAGCTTGTCAAATTAAGCTAGCTGTCACATCCTCTTGTCCTGACCACACCTCTCTTATCCCCACACTTGGCAGTGCCCCTCAGTGTCTCTTGGCTCCGCCCACTTTGTTGGATTTTTTTTTCAAATTTGCCTGGGGGCTGGGTTATGTTTTCACAGGGGGATTAGTAACTCTTTAAGTCAGCATATTGTCTTAAAACATTAGCCGTTTTTCCATTACAATGTGCGGCTCCACTTGTTTCCACTCAGGTGTAGGTGATTTTCCACTGTAACCAGTGTCCCCGCTCTGTGGGCGGTAACATCTTTTAAAAGTGGGTGGTATAATTTAAATGGAGGCACAGAAGCTGCTGTTTATTGACATAAAAATAGTCTGATATTTAGTCTATAACTACTTCTACAGCAAACCATTGCATATAAATTATGGCTATCAAATAATTAATATTTTTAATCTGATTAATCCCAAAGTAGCTGTGAATTAATCATGATTAATCTTAAATTTAATATACAT